GGTTTCCCGTTGTTAGTTATTCCTATTGTCCCTTAGAGATAGGTTTCCCGTTGTTAGTTATTCCTATTGTCCCTTAGAGATAGGTTTCCCGTTGTTAGTTATTCCTATTGTCCCTTAGAGATAGGTTTCCCATTGTTAGTTATTCCTATTGTCCCTTAGAGATAGGTTTCCCGTTGTTAGTTATTACTATTGTGCCTTAGAGATAGGTTTCCCATTGTTAGTTATTCCTATTGTCCCTTAGAGATAGGTTTTCCATTGTTAATTATTCCTATTGTCCCTTGGAGATAGGTTTTCTGTTGTTAGATATTCCTATTGTCCCTTAGAGATAGTTTTCCCATTGTTAGTTATTCCTGTTGTCCATTAGAGATATGTTTTCCATTGTTAATTATTGCTATTGACCATCAGAGATAGGTTTTCTGTTGTTAGGTATTCCTTTTGTCCCTTAGAGATAGTTTTCCCATTGGTATGTATTCCTATTGTCCCTTAGAGATAGGTTTTCTTTTGTTAGGTATTCCTATTGTCCCTTAGAGATAGGTTTCCCATTGTTAGTTATTACTATTGTGCCTTAGAGATAGGTTTCCCATTGTTAGTTATTCCTATTGTCCCTTAGAGATAGTTTTCCCGTTGTTAATTATTCCTATTGTCCCTTAGAGATAGGTTTCCCATTGTTAGTTATTACTATTGTGCCTCAGAGATAGGTTCCCCGTTGTTGGTTATTACTATTGTGCCTCAGAGATAGGTTTCTCGTTGTTGGTTATTCTTCACAGTTGCATAATTCAGATTTCCTGCATGGACTTGGTGAAAGTTGTTCTCCGGTTAGCTAGATATTTGTCTGTCATAACAGGCAGGTTTGATCTCACTGTCTTATTTGTGGTTAATTTTTGATAGATAATTGTCATTCTCTTTTTTTGCTGCCTAAGTTACTTACAATCAGCACCATTGTACTATGGTAAAACCATGGGTGGTCAGTCTTCTTAACACTAAGGTAATTATATTGATTACTGGCAAGCTCATTTGTTGATTTTTTTCCAGGAACATATCTTTAGGCAGAGTTGACAGTAGAGATAAAGTTGTGATGAGTGACAGAGTGTGATGACTAGTAGAATAACAAGCATATATTATTTATGTATCAGTTATAATGTATGTATTATTTATACACTTGTTTAAAATTTGCATAGCATTTATTATTCATGAATTATTTGTTATGTATGTATTAATTACTTTTTACGTACTTAGTTATTTCTTGGATTGATGCTGTTGATGTTTTCTCAGGTGAGCGCAAGTACGTCTGTTCTTGTTGTGAACGAGGCTTCAAGCAGCTTTCTCACCTGCAGCAGCATTTCAGGATTCATACAGGTGAGTGACCTGCTTTTGCTGGCCTGTGCTGTCTTACCTTTGTCAAATAATTCTTGAGGTAAAATTCTTGTTGTTTACGTGCCCGGCTCGCTAGCGTATTTGGTTAAAACTCTCCGAATGACGAACTCCTTGTGGTCGGGGTTCATGCCCCGGGGTAGGCAGAAAAGCCACATTTCTTCCAGATGTATGGTTTCTATCATGGAATCAAGGCCAAAGGGTTGCAATATCCATAGTACCAAGCCATAGGGTTTACAACTCAAGGTTTCTGGATACTTGGAGAGAAAAAAAAAAACATACTTTGATGTGAAATGCTTGTTGTTAGTCTTCTTACTGACAGACCCTTGTTGGCTGTATCTTTTCATTCAAACCCTTATTTATGCTGTCTTTAGTCTTGGATCCTGGGTTACCAGTCTCCATGATCACTAAATGATTATTTATACGGATAGTTCAGTGTCAAGAGGCAGAAGAGGTGCTTTGGGGTTCTTGGCAAAAGCTGTTGGTTGATGTTTATTGCATGAGAGCCTGGCATGTGATACCACAACATCCAGCTTAAGAATGGAGGTGAAAATGGTCACTGCAGTTTTCTGCTGACTAGAGAAGACAATACACACTCATGCACACGCGTATACACACACACACACATCGCGATTGTAACTGACTCAGAAAGCATGGTGAGGATAGGCATGCTTCATGCAGAGTGGCATGCTTCTCTTCGGAGGTCACGTGTAAAGTGCTTTATCTGCATCTTTTATCTGGGGCATACCAGTGTGTTGGGAAAGGAACAGGCTGTGAGTCCACTACCTCCTATCAGCTGCAGGTCCTTCATGGTTCCCTGTAGCTTGCTCTGCAGACTTTGCTCTTGAGGCCAGGTTTCTCTTTCGAGTTGTAGGTAGAGTGGGTAGAATGTGCTCAAGTGTTTGTGGTCCTGTCTGACAGGCACGCTGTAGTGACTGTGCAATCTTTTAAAACCTTTGATCATAGTCTTAATTTATTTTTGTCAATGGCTTCATTATGTCTGGTATAGTCATTTCTTTTCTTCATTCATATTCTTGGCATCCAACTCTTGGTCATGTCTCTTTTGTTCTTAAAGACCTCTTTATATTTTTCTTACTGTCACATCTTTGCTTACTCCATCTTTACTGTCAAGCTTTTGTTGTTGCTTTACCAGACATACAGTCTTGTGTTGGTGATTGCTGGTTACCTTGCTGTTGAATTGATGGCAAAAGTGTGAAATCTGTGCTCACACCTGTACTGCTGCTGCTATGAAGGCACCTGTTGTATATGTTACATTAGACTTTGATTAGTTGATGAATAATTTGACCTTTTCTATTTGGGAGTAAGTGGTGTTGACCACTTAGGTTGAAAAATACGCACATTTGGCCTTTCCCATATGGAAGAGAAAGTGAATTTGACTCTCTCTGTTGGATGATCAAGTGAATATTACCCCTTTTTGCCTCTTTAGGCATAGTGGGGATATGGTAACCTCATTTCTTTTTTTAGAACAAGACTAATCAACCACTCAGTGAGTAATATGGCTAGTATCATACTGGCCACCTTTGCTTCCCTAAACCTTTCCTAGTACCTTTGATGAATGAGTGTACTAGGGAGCCCTGGTCAGTTAGGAAACAGTCAATGTCTTGAGTGGGGTGGGGGGGGGGGGGAAGTGGTGCTTGTGCGTGTGTGTGTGTGCATGCACATGCGTGCTTGTGTGTTTGTGTTCAGATCAGTGACTGTCTGAGGTTTCTGCTGTGTTTATCCTTTATAGGACTGTTAGCACATTCTGTTGTTGTTTACAGCTGGGCTGTGATATCTGTATACTTTTTGGCCTATCATGTAAGCAAAACTCTAATCAGTCATCTGTTATGACATACTTCTATAGGTGACAGTTGGTTGGTTATTTTTGTGTTTGTCCTATAGGGCCCTATAACCCACATAGGGAAGCGTAAGTCTAAGATCGTCTTGAGGTAGCATAATAATTCGGTCAGTATTTTAAATAATGAATGTCTCCTAATCGTCGCAGTCATGTAGCTTGTCAGTTGTTGTGAGTGATAATGGTTGTGGTGCACATCTTGTGGTCTCCAACAACATGTACCAATTTGTGCTGAACTCCTTTTTGTGCCATCATAAGTGGCCATCAGGAGTTTTATTTTGATGTTATTTTCTTTTTCTCTAGTCAGTAATATTCTTCACTTGTCACAGTATTTTCTGGTTGCTGCAGTAATTCTCCAGTTGTAACAATATTCTCTATTTGTCACAGTAACCCTTCCAGTTATCACAGTATTCTCTGGTTGTCACAGTATTCTCCACTTGTCACAGTATTCTCTGGTTGTCACATTATTCTCCACTTGTCACAGTATTCTCTTTTTGTCACAATATTCTCTGGTTGTCACAGTATTCTCCACTTGTCACAGTATTCTCTATTTGTCACAATATTCTCTGGTTGTCACATTATTCTCCACTTGTCACAGTATTCTCTATTTGTCACAATATTCTCTGGTTGTCACAGTATTCTCCACTTGTCACAGTATTCTCTATTTGTCACAATATTCTCTGGTTGTCACAGTATTCTCCAGCTGCCACAGTACTCTTTTTAGTTGTCACAATATTTTTCAGGAGTCACAATATTCTTCAATAGTCACAATATTCTGACCTACTTTTACCTGTCTGTCTGACTGACTGTCCTGTATCTACCTGTAGGAGGATGGTGGTGATGTTTCTAAAATTGTTTCTTGAATTCTTCTGGTCCAGTCCCAACTGACTGTTAAACACATATAAGCGTTCCACTTCTTGTACTGTGTGATGTGGCATGCTTTGAGTTTCTGTTGCTTCCTTTAATTTTAATGATCTGTCTGGTTTTTTTCTTCATCTTTTTTTCTTGATACTCTGTTCTGCCTTTCACCATTAGGTTTTAAAGAGACATCAGTGTCAGCCTTGGTATGTGCTACAGAGAGGCTGGTATTCAGAGCCTCATATTCCATCTATCCCTTGCTTGCATGGAGCACTTCTGACTGTGCTTCTGTTGTGTCTTGTGACAGGGCTTTCTCTACTTCACTGTATAGTGTTAGTCTTGATACCTGTCCCAACTATTTGAAACTCTGGCAGAAAGTTCTAGTTGCTTGTCCACTACTGAACTGCAGTCCTGCTCCAGAACCTAAGTGTTGCGTGTGCATCAGTTTTACAGGTCTCATTCTCAGACTGTAGGTTCCTTGCCTCTCCGGCAGATGCACTCCGACCTCAAAGGAAGCTCCCCAATTAGTCGACTCTTACGACATGCTTTTGGGTCTATGCAGTGGGTCTGTTCTTGTTATCCGCTACAATGGGGCCCCGGAACCCACACAGGGGGATCTCTTTGATCTGTTTCTCTGGCTGTAGTTTAGCACCGGTTTGGTACCAGTTTGTCTAAAAATATTTTTATTTCTGATTCTGTCTCTTTTTTTTTTCTGTCCGCTGGTTTTTTCGTCCTCCTGTAATTCTGTGACCTGACACATTCTTCAGGATGTTCTTCACTTCCCTTGCTCTCAAGGTAACTGATCATCCTCCTGTCCTGGTGAAGGTAGTAGTCTGTCTTCAGGAGTTACTGTAGAAATACCTGGCTGCAGCTCAAACCCTGACCACTTTCATAACTTGTTGATTCTTTCTTGCAGGTGAGCGCAAATATGTCTGCCAGCTTTGTAGCCGTGCTTTCAAACAAATGACACATTTGCAGCAGCATCATAGAATTCACACTGGTAATACATAGTTTTGGTGTGAAGTGCACAGTTCATTTCCTCCCTAATATTTTCTCTGTGTCTGTTGTATTTATTCCTTTTTTCACTATGTAAGTTTTGGTTTTGAACAGCGGTCTGTTTATTTTGTTCTGAGTGGCATTTTTCTAAACTTGTTTTTTTTATAGTTTTTGGTTTCAAGACACATATCTACATGGTTTTAATTGTCTTTTCTTTTTTTAGTTTGCACAGTTTTCTGTTTAGTTTTTATAACTATTTCTCATTGCAATCTATATGTCTCCCAATATGGTAAATCTTCCAGTGTAGTTCCTAGTACAGTCTCCCACTGTAGTAAATCTTCTGTTGTATTTCTTACTACAGTTCTCCCACTTTAGTAAATCTTCCAGTGGAGTACTGGTACAGTCTTCTACAGCAGTAAATCTTCCACTGTAGTTCTAAAGAAAACACAGGTATGGTCAGATCTCTTAATGTAATCCTTGAAAAACATGCCAAGGAAGTTCTTTTTTGAATCCCATATCATGATTCTTATAAAAAAAAATCTCTATTTGGTTAATTTGAAATGATTGTTTATAGCAGAATTATAGAATTGCAGTTGTTATCAAAATCTTCTGTTGTAGTTTTTGGCAAACCGACCCATATGGGTAACTCTCTGACCCATATGGGTAACTCTCTGACCCATATGGGTAACTCTCTGACCCATATGGGTAAATCTGAGGCTTAGCTCAAATCTCTCAGGATAGTAAATCTTCCTCTAGTTCTTAGCACAATATCCAAGTTTTCTTGCACTTGAGTGTTTTGTTGTTAAATATTTCCCATGTCCCTATTGTAATTGTAGCTTTGTTTGGTTGAGTGCTCCATAACCACCTCTCCATCGTTGACATTTTGCTTTTCTTTCTTTGTTCAAAGCAGATTGTATCTGGTTATTTGTGTAGAATTATATTTGGTTCGGCTTTTCTGTAAACGCATTGAGAATGTGACTTTATTGTTAAAATCATAAATTCATTGTTGGTATGAGTTGTGATGATTTAACAAGAGCTGTGGCTGTTGTTGCATACGCTATGTTTGGTGTACAGTGATTGGTTGTGGATCCTTTAGAAGGCAGTGCGTTTTAACTCTGAAATCTGAACATTAATCTCATCTAAGCTTTGAGTTAAATCTGTCAGAATGAAATTAGCATAGAGACTTTTCTCCTGACATGAAACTAGCACTTTCTTCAAGGGACTGTGTTGCAAAGAATGTTGAATTAAGAATCAACATCATAGCACTCGGGATACCATCTTCAGCAACAAGCGAAGAGTTAAAATTCTGATGGTACCAGTAACTGTCTGATTGTATATCCATCTCGCCGTTTCCCCTGAGTGTCAGGCGTCGGCCAGATCCTCTTCTCACTCCTCGCATTGCCATTCTCCTCAGACCGTAATTATCTGTCTGTTCCTTGGCACTGTTCACTGGCTCTCAAAGGGCTCTCGCAACATCCAGCTTGTCATACATCAATTCACCACTAAGTGGTGCAAACCGGCCAGTCTGTCTGCCTGCTCATTTCCCAACACACTGGCATTACTTGTAGAAAATATCCAAAGGATACTAACTACCCAGGACCTTTTAAGTGATGCTTGCTACTCTGCACGGAGCATGCCTGTCTCCACCTTTCTCAACATGCTCTGTGAGTCAGTGACAATGATGGCATGTGTGTACAGCTGTTTCTCAAGTGGGACTGTGTTGCAGAATTTAACTATCCCTCTCCTATCTCAAGAACTAATATGCTGTGCAGTACCAGCACAAGAACTTAATTTCTGTCAAGGAATTGTTCTTTGGAATGTTAGCTAGACTGGAAACAGCTGTGTGTCTGATTGTAGGTCCATCAGACTGGACCTAGTCTGTAGGTGTGATTGTAGGTCCATCAGACTGGACCTAGCTGTTGATTGTAGGTCCATCAGACTGGACCTAGTCTGTAGGTGTGATTGTAGGTCCATCAGACTGGACCTAGCTGTTGATTGTAGGTCCATCAGACTGGACCTGGCTGTTGACTGTAGGTCCATCAGACTGGACCTGGCTGTTGATTGTAGGTCCATCATACTGGACTTAGCTGTTGATTGTAGTTCCATCAGACTGGACCTAGTCTGTAGGTGTGATTGTAGGTCCATCAGACTAGACCTAGCTGTTGATTGTAGGTCCATCATACTGGACCTAGCTGTTGATTATAGTTTCATCAGACTGAACCTAGATGTTGATTGTAGGTCCATCATACTGGACCTAGCTGTTGATCGTAGGTCCATCAGACTGGACCTAGCTGTTGATCGTAGGTCCATCAGACTGGACCTAGGTGTTCATTGTAGGTCCATCAGGCTGGACCTAGCTGTTGATCATAGGTCCATCAGACTGGACCTAACTGTTGATTGTAGGTCCATCAGACTGGACCTAGCGTTGATTGTAGGTCCATCAGACTGGACCTAGATGTTGATTGTAGGTCCATCATACTGGACCTAGCTGTTGATTGTAGGTCCATCAGACTTGACCTAGCTGTTGATTGTAGGTCCATCAGACTAGACCTAGCTGTTGATTGTAGGTCCATCATACTGGACCTAGCTGTTGATTATAGTTTCATCAGACTGAACCTAGATGTTGATTGTAGGTCCATCAAACTGGACCTAGCTGTTGATCGTAGGTCCATCAGACTGGACCTAGGTGTTGATTGTAGGTCCATCAGGCTGGACCTAGCTGTTGATCGTAGGTCCATCAGACTGGACCTAGCTGTTGATTGTAGGTCCATTAGACTGGACCTAGCTGTTGATCGTAGGTCCATCAGACTGGACCTAGGTGTTGATTGTAGGTCCATCATACTGGACCTAGCTGTTGATCGTAGGTCCATCAGGCTGGACCTAGCTGTTAATTGTAGGTCCATCAGACTGGACCTAGCTGTTGATTGTAGGTCCATCAGACTGGACCTAGCTGTTGATTGTAGGTCCATCAGACTGGACCTAGCTGTTGATTTTAGGTCCATCAGACTGGACCTAGCTGTTGATTTTAGGTCCATCAGACTGGACTTAGGTGTTGATTGTAGGTCCATCAGACTGGACCTAGCTGTTGATTGTAGGTCCATCATACTGGACCTAGCTGTTGATTGTAGGTCCATCTGACTGGACCTAGCTGTTGATTGTAGGTCCATCAGACTGGACCTAACTGTTGATTGTAGGTCCATCAGACTGGACCTAGCAGTTAAATATAGCTCATTGCCGTGTGCACATCTTAGTTGACATGCTACCTTCTCAATCAGACCACATATCTGTCACTCCAGATTGATGATGGTGCAGATGGCAATGTTCTTACCTGTCAGCACAGATCTGGGTTCGATCTTCAGTAAAGTTTCTGAGGAAATCCTCTTTGGTGTAGAGGAAGACTATAGTATAAAGATCTGTGCAAATGGGACATTAATGATACATGAATTGAGGTGTATTTGTTGGAACTGGATGCCACAGGCCATGCTGTGTGAGGGGAAAAAAAAGGGACAAAGAAGAAAATGATGACATTTATATTATAAGCTGAGCGTCTGAGAAGAGGATGGTAAATACATGCAGGGCTGAGTGGTCTCCAAGCATGGCATCCGCCTCAGTTGCTGAAGGTCCCGGGTTCAAGCACCAGTAAAGGCTGGGATTTTTCACGTGGACCTCTAGAAACTTCCCCTAGTAGCTGGGTAGTAAAATCGGACACCCGTGTGTGTTGATGTGCACATAAAAAAATCCCTTGGCAGTTGGAAATCGAATAGAGTAGCCTATTGGTGCTTCCTGGGCAAAATTTGGAGTTAAAAATCTGAGTATTTCAGGATCTTGGCCAGTGTTGCGGAGTTCGTGCACTGTGCTGATATTTTCAGACAGGCTTGAGTTAGAGAAGTGGAACAGAGCACTTATGGGTTACCACCCTTGTGCCATGATGTTGATCCATTGTATCAAATATCAGTCAACGTGCAGCTGTCTCAGGTAGTTGCTCTGATGGATCCTTTTCATGTGTATTTGGCATATAAGGCTAGGCCTTCATTTTATAGACCAATCGGCACTCAGTAGGTGATTTGGTCAACATCACACCAGCTGCCTTTACTTCCCAGGACTGTACCTTGTACGCATTTAGGGCTGGGTCGACCTGGGAGCCAAGATCATTTAAAATAAAAAACTGTTTTTTGCATTGAGATAATTCTAAGCTTGTGGTAGCCAATTTTTTTTTTTTTACGTCGCTGTTTTTCGTTGACAGGTGAGAGGAAGTATGTGTGCCAGATCTGCAGCCGAGCCTTCAAGCAGCTGACACACCTGCAAAAACATCATGTTGTTCATACAGGTAAATACAACTGGACATCAACAATCAAGGGCTGTTTTCCTGGACTTGTGTCATGTTGGGTATATTGTGCCGCCCGCTCTGTTTTGCTAGAGCCACCGGCACCAAGTTGGTGATAGGTCCAGTGACCTGCTGGCCGGCCGGCTGTCTTGTTCTTTAGAAAACATTTTCTGGTATCGATTGTAGGTTGCAAGTCTCAGTGCTCAGTCGCTGAAGGCTCAGGTGGCTGGGTCATACTTGGAGATTGGAGGATGAAAGAGTTCCTCAACACATTCTCTTTGGTGAATTACAAATGAGTAAAAGATATGTGGAAGCGAGACATGAATGAGACAGGGATTGAGGTAGATCTGTAGGAACACAATACCTTGGACCGTGTTGCATGGAGGGGGGGGGGGGGGGGGGGGGGGGGGGGGGGGGGGAATCAGGAAAGGAATGGGAATAAAGGGAAACAACAATGTGCAGGTAGGTTAAGGGATAAGGTCTTTGAAGAAACACACTGAGTCTATTTACTGGCAACAACGATCCTAGAATCCCACGCTCTGATTGTGGAAGACAGGCAGGTTTTGCTAGTCACACTCACCTTCACCGTGGGCTGTGATGGTCCCCATAGCACATAATAACACAAGTCATTTGGAAAGATGCACAACTCTCATCACATTATAGTTGGGGGCCGCCTGTGAACCCAGCCAGTTTAAAAAAAAATATATATATATCTGCCTGAATAAAGATATGACAAATGACCACAGGATTTTTCTCCAGTCGGAGAACCAACAGTCTGCATACAAGTAAGCTACATCTGTAAAATGTATGAGCACGCAGGATTCAAGTTCTTGAACGAGACTGGTCCAGAAGCAGGCAAACAACCAGAACTTGTCATTGGAGTTTATAGCATGTGAAGACTAAGAAGCAGAAGACCACAAGATTGGAAAACAACCGTGCCACTTCACTGCCATAGCTGTTACCACTGAACATACAGGAACTTTGTTGTGCGTGTAATAAACATTTGTTGCACTGTTGATGCTGCACTTCAGTTGATGCATCCTGTTGGAGACTGATGGATGTGTAGTGGCATGATCGTCTGTGGCAGGTGGCATGCTACTTGATAATGATGATGACCGTCTCTTGGAATATGTTGGAAACTGAGTGAATACATTTTTTACTATTGGGATTGTTCAAACACCAACTGGTGACCAGTTGTGTTATAGTCCATGCTGGTTCACACACCAACTGGTGACCAGTTGTTGTGTTATAGTCCATGCTGGTTCAAACACCAACTGGTGACCAGTTGTTGGGTTATAGTCCATGCTGGTTCAAACACCAACTGGTGACCAGTTGTGTTATAGTCCATGCTGGTTCAAACACCAACTGGTGACCAGTTGTGTTATAGTCCATGCCGGTTCAAACACCAACTGGGGACCAGTTGTTGTGTTATAGTCCATGCCGGTTCAAACACCAACTGGTGACCAGTTGTTGTGTTATAGTCCATGCTGGTTCAAACACCAACTGGTGACCAGTTGTTGTGTTATAGTCCATGCTGGTTCAAACACCAACTGGTGACCAGTTGTTGTGTTATAGTCCATGCTGGTTCAAACACCAACTGGTGACCAGTTGTTGTGTTATAGTCCATGCCGGTTCAAACACCAACTGGTGACCAGTTGTTGTGTTATAGTCCATGCTGGTTCAAACACCAACTGGTGACCAGTTGTTGTGTTATAGTCCATGCCGGTTCAAACACCAACTGGTGACCAGTTGTTGTGTTATAGTCCATGCCGGTTCAAACACCAACTTGTGACCAGTTGTTGTGTTATAGTCCATGCCGGTTCAAACACCAACTGGTGACCAGTTGTTGTGTTATAGTCCATGCCATAGCATATCTGTCCACGGCCTTTGGTCTGTCATCTTACTGATACATATGATCCTCCATACCATGATGCTCAACTAAAATCTGCTGCCTTAGTCTCCTCCTGCCTCTCTTCCCCTTCAGGTTGCTTGTACTCATGATTTACTTTATTATCTCCCTTCTCATGACATGACCAAACACTTGATTCTCTGCTGCCTTGGTCTCCTCCTGCCCCTCTTACTCTTCAGGTTGCTTGTACTCATGATTTATTTTATTATCTCCCTTTTCAATACATGTCCAAACACTGTGGATTCTCTGCTGCTGATGTGGGTTTCTTTGTGAGTTGCCTTCTTCATTGTGCTATAGTTTTCTTACTAGTCTTCTGACTGGGGTAACTAGTTATCTTTGTGATTTGAATGAACCAAGAATTGATATCACTGGGGCATTCCCACATGTGCTCTGTCCTCTTCCTCAGTAGCCAGTATGGACTTCCCACAATAATAGTGTCACTTGTAAATATGTGAGTTCCTTTAAGACATTTTAATCATTCTATGCTGTTCTCAGCATTATTCAGTGAAACCACATCTGTTTCACTCACTATTCTGCCAGCTGTTTATAACTTATGTCTTTACATCAGAACTGGCTCTGAATAGACATTAAGACCTCTCTCTGTCTGTTTCGCACCCCAGTTGACAAAAAAATAGTAGCTAGGCATTTAAAGAAACCTGTCCTTTCACAGGAGAGCGCAAGTTTGTTTGTCAGTGTTGTGACCGAGCATTCAAACAGCAAACACATCTCCAACAGCACTACAGGATCCACACTGGTAAGGCATCCAGTGTCGGTGGGTCCTCAGGCCAGTAGAATGTGTTGTCAGGCTCAGGCCAGTAGTCTATGTTGTCAGGCTCAGGCCAGTAGTCTATGTTGTCAGGCTCAGGCCAGTAGTCCATGTTGTCAGGCTCAGGCTAGTAGTCCATGTTGTCAGGCTCAAGCCAGTAGTCTGTGTTGTCAGGCTCAGGCTAGTAGTCCATGTTGTCAGGCTCAGGCCAGTAGTCTGTATTGTCTAGCTTTTGTAGCTGGATGTCTCAGGTTGTTATAGTCTGTATTGTCTAGCTTTTGTAGCTGGATGTCTCAGGTTGTTATAGTCTGTATTGTCATGCTTTTGTAGCTGGATGTCTCAGGTTGTTATAGTCTGTATTGTCAAGCTTTTGTAGCTGGATGTCTCAGGTTGTTATAGTCTGTATTGTCAAGCTTTTGTAGCTGGATGTCACAGGTTGTTATAGTCTGTATTGTCAAGCTTTTGTAGCTGGATGTCACAGGTTGTTATAGTCTGTATTGTCAAGCTTTTGTAGCTGGATGTCACAGGTTGTTGTAGTCTGTATTGTCATGCTTTTGTAGCTGGATGTCTCAGGTTGTTTTAGTCTGTATTGTCAAGCTTTTGTAGCTGGATGTCTCAGGTTGTTATAGTCTGTATTGTCAAGCTTTTGTAGCTGAAGGTCTCAGGTTGTTATAGTCTGTATTGTCAAGCTTTTGTAGCTGGATGTCTCAGGTTGTTATAGTCTGTATTGTCAAGCTTTTGTAGCTGGATGTCTCAGGTTGTTATAGTCTGTATTGTCAAGCTTTTGTAGCTGGATGTCACAGGTTGTTATAGTCTGTATTGTCATGCTTTTGTAGCTGGATGTCTCAGGTTGTTATAGTCTGTATTGTCAAGCTTTTGTAGCTGGATGTCTCAGGTTGTTATAGTCTGTATTGTCAAGCTTTTGTAGCTGGATGTCTCAGGTTGTTATAGTCTGTATTGTCAAGCTTTTGTAGCTGGATGTCACAGGTTGTTATAGTCTGTATTGTCAAGCTTTTGTAGCTGGATGTCACAGGTTGTTGTAGTCTGTATTGTCATGCTTTTGTAGCTGGATGTCTCAGGTTGTTTTAGTCTGTATTGTCAAGCTTTTGTAGCTGGATGTCTCAGGTTGTTATAGTCTGTATTGTCAAGCTTTTGTAGCTGAAGGTCTCAGGTTGTTATAGTCTGTATTGTCAAGCTTTTTGTAGCTGGATGTCTCAGGTTGTTATAGTCTGTATTGTCAAGCTTTTGTAGCTGGATGTCTCAGGTTGTTATAGTCTGTATTGTCAAGCTTTTGTAGCTGGATGTCACAGGTTGTTATAGTCTGTATTGTCATGCTTTTGTAGCTGGATGTCTCAGGTTGTTATAGTCTGTATTGTCAAGCTTTTGTAGCTGGATGTCTCAGGTTGTTATAGTCTGTATTGTCAAGCTTTTGTAGCTGGATGTCTCAGGTTGTTATAGTCTGTATTGTCATGCTTTTGTAGCTGGATGTCTCAGGTTGTTATAGTCTGTATTGTCAAGCTTTTGTAGCTGGATGTCTCAGGTTGTTATAGTCTGTATTGTCAAGCTTTTGTAGCTGGATGTCTCAGGTTGTTATAGTCTGTATTGTCAAGCTTTTGTAGCTGGATGTCACAGGTTGTTATAGTCTGTATTGTCAAGCTTTTGTAGCTGGATGTCTCAGGTTGTTATAGTCTGTATTGTCATGCTTTTGTAGCTGGATGTCACAGGTTGTTATAGTCTGTATTGTCAAGCTTTTGTAGCTGGATGTCTCAGGTTGTTATAGTCTGTATTGTCAAGCTTTTGTAGCTGGATGTCTCAGGTTGTTATAGTCTGTATTGTCATGCTTTTGTAGCTGGATGTCTCAGGTTGTTATAGTCTGTATTGTCAAGCTTTTGTAGCTGGATGTCTCAGGTTGTTATAGTCTGTATTGTCAAGCTTTTGTAGCTGGATGTCTCAGGTTGTTATAGTCTGTATTGTCAAGCTTTTGTAGCTGGATGTCTCAGGTTGTTATAGTCTGTATTGTCAAGCTTTTGTAGCTGGATGTCTCAGGTTGTTATAGTCTGTATTGTCAAGCTTTTGTAGCTGGATGTCTCAGGTTGTTATAGTCTGTATTGTCAAGCTTTTGTAGCTGGATGTCTCAGGTTGTTATAGTCTGTATTGTCAAGCTTTTGTAGCTGGATGTCTCAGGTTGTTAGTCTGTGTGGTAAAACTTCTCTGGGGCATAGTTTATTGTGAAAGTGTCTTTTAGTGAGGGATGTTTAACTGGTGTCCTGCTTTGATAGTGAAATTTTAGTACTTCTGTAGCTGTCCCAGTCCACTAGAGTATGGTGTGTAGCTTTCTTAACTTGTTCCTCCTGTTTAAAGAAAATAGTAAAATATCCTTTACTGGTGTCCCAGACTGTTGTAGTAAGTGTGTAGTTTCCTTTGCTCTGAGTCCCAGACTGTTGTAGTAAGTGTGTAGTCTCCTTTGCTTGAGTCCCAGACTGTTGTAGTAAGTGTGTAGTTTCCTTTGCTCTGAGTCCCAGACTGTTGTAGTAAGTGTGTAGTTTCCTTTGCTCTGAGTCCCAGACTGTTGTAGTAAGTGTGTAGTCTCCTTTGCTCTGAGTCCCAGACTGTTGTAGTAAGTGTGTAGTCTCCTTTGCTCTGAGTCCCAGACTGTTGTAGTAAGTGTGTAGTCTCCTTTGCTTGAGTCCCAGACTGTTGTAGTAAGTGTGTAGTTTCCTTTGCTCTGAGTCCCAGACTGTTGTAGTAAGTGTGTAGTTTCCTTTGCTCTGAGTCCCAGACTGTTGTAGTAAGTGTGTAGTCTCCTTTGCTCTGAGTCCCAGACTGTTGTAGTAAGTGTGTAGTCTCCTTTGCTCTGAGTCCCAGACTGTTGTAGTAAGTGTGTAGTCTCCTTTGCTTGAGTCCCAGACTGTTGTAGTAAGTGTGTAGTTTCCTTTGCTCTGAGTCCCAGACTGTTGTAGTAAGTGTGTAGTTTCCTTTGCTCTGAGTCCCAGACTGTTGTAGTAAGTGTGTAGTCTCCTTTGCTTGAGTCCCAGACTGTTGTAGTAAGTGTGTAGTTTCCTTTGCTCTGAGTCGCAGACTGTTGTAGTAAGTGTGTAGTTTCCTTTGCTCTGAGTCCCAGACTGTTGTAGTAAGTGCGTAGACTCCTTTGCTCTGAGTCGCAGACTGTTGTAGTAAGTGTGTAGTCTCCTTTGCTCTGAGTCCCAGACTGTTGTAGTAAGTGTGTAGTCTCCTTTGCTTGAGTCCCAGACTGTTGTAGTAAGTGTGTAGTCTCCTTTGCTTGTGTCTCTTACTGTTGTAGTAAGTGTGTTGTCTCCTTTGCTTGAGTCCCAGACTGTTGTAGTAAGTGTGTAGTCTCCTTTGCTCCGAGTCTCAGACCTTTGTAGTAAGTGTGTAGTCTCCTTTGCTCTGAGTCCCAGACTGTTGTAGTAAGTGTGTAGTCTCCTTTGCTCTGAGTCCCAGACTGTTGTAGTAAGTGTGTAGTCTCCTTTGCTCTGAGTTTTAGACTGATTAAGTTGTTATGAGGTATCATGATCTTATTTCCCAAAGTCCCAGAGTTGTCCACTCTCCCTAGTTTGCATTTAGCCAGGTTTGTCTGTAACAGTGTTTTTCTAATTTTTTTTACATACGCCCCTCACCAAAACAGTGTAAAGTGTTTCACGGCCCACCTGAAAGTTAACCAAAACACAAGACAAAAACGAATATACAGCAGTTTATTTGTTAAATCCAATTTTACGGAATTACCATATTCAGCCAATACAACATCTGCTGCTACTTAGAGATACAACAAAATCTAATATCTGTGGCTATAGCGTGTTTCTGATATACAAAGCACTACAAAAACATTCTTTTGGTTTCTCAGTTTGGATGTTTTTATTGGCATACCCTAGAAAGTCTTTCTTTGAGGTGTTAATCCTGTTGACTGAAAGAGAACAGGCACTTACTCTAACTTGTTACAGTTATGAAGCCATGTTTTTTCAACTCTCGTCACGGTACAGATGAAAGTCTCTCTTTCTCTATCTAGTGAATCCTCCAGCCCTATATGCTTTCACAGCCAATCATTTGAAGTGTCCTGTACCCACCATTATGGAGTTGTCTGTTCTTGTGAACACAGGACCCTCAATCACCGTTGACTCCCGGACACCAAGATGCTTGACATGACCACAATAGCTCAGCCAGGGAGACAGGATGCTGTTTATGAGCCAGTTCTCCTGGATGCTGAGATCATGTTCTCTTGGTCCATGGTATCCTGGGCATGTTTTTGATAGCATTTGAGTTGAAAAGCTCTGACTTTTGTCTTCAGTCATTGAGTAAGAGTCTGTGACTCACATCTATCAGTAATTCTATAAATGGCTATAGTGTTATCAGATGTTTACAGTATGTACCTAGTCCTCTTCTCTTGGTTCACTTGAATTTGTTTAACACTGTCCATGAGCTCTGTGTTATCAGATGTTTACAGTATGTACCTAGTCCTCTTCTCTTGGTTCACTGGAATTTGTTTAACACTGTCCATGAGCTCTGTGTTATCAGATGTTTACAGTATGTACCTAGTCCTCTTCTCTTGGTTCACTGGAATTTGTTTAACGCTGTCCGTGAGCTCTGTGTTATCAGATGTTTGCATTATGTATCCAGTCCTCTTCTCTCGGTTCACTGGAATATGTTTAACGCTTTCAATGAGCTCTGTGTTAGCCATACAGTCTTACCATCTTAGTCCTTCTGTTGTGTGCAGACAGCCCATTTGTATGTCATCATACCACAGTGATTTCATAAATGAGCTTTTTGAAATGCTTAAAACAGAGCTTTCCAAACAGTTTTGCAACACATCAATGCGTCATCTTCAGTGTGAAGGTGTATTACACAAGCTTGAAGTTGTGTGTGTTTGTATTTGTTAGAAGGCCTTAGTTTCAGCTCTAGTTAAGCCTGAATTACTATGTCATATTATTTATTTCTCTAAAAAAAAGCATATCACTAAAAGTTTAAAAAGCTCTGTATTAAAAATGTAGGATGGTCGCATGCCAGATTGTGCTGTGTGATGTTTTACACTGTCAGATACTTAGATGGCTTTAATCATCTTCTTTTGCATTGTGTACACAATAATATCTGTTGTGCTTTTTTTTTCATTAGGTTCATTTACAGTTTCTTGTGTTAATGTTTAAGGAAAGAAGCAGCATGTGTTAAACGGGAAGGTTGGAATCATCTTGCTACAGGTAGAGACACAGCTGCAATTGATGTTCAACCTTCTGGTAGGACATCATCTTTGGGAGAAGAAGTTAATGAAGCAGATACCTGTCCACACATGTGATGTTCCAGGGAATAACCACACAAACACAAGCAGAATTCAGCAACTTCAGAAGTGAGAGACTGTCTGAAGATAGCAAACGAGAGCTACAAGGAGCAGGAAATTCACTGGTCAAGGCTTCTTTCCATCTCTTCATGGGAAATCCTAGAATCTGTGACTAGCCCGGCCACCAGAGAGAGGATCCAGCACAATCTGCACTGTGACGAAGCTTGGTGGGAGCTCTTCAGTCGTTTGAGGGCATAATTGCATTGTGTCTTTTTACAGCAGGGCTGTGATATTTGCGTCTGCTGGGAGTTCAGAACACTGCAAGATTGAACGAGAATCACAAAGATAACAGAGATAGATCACATGTTTAGTTTATGGTAGGTCATAGGATTAGTTTATGGTAGGGCATAGGTTTAGTTTATGGTAGGTCATAGATTTAGTTTATGGTTAATCATTGGATTAGTTTATGGTCGGTCATAGATTTAGTTTATGGTAGGTCATAGGATTAGTTTATGGTAGTTCATAGGATTAGTTTATAGGTCATAGGATTAGTTTATGGTAGGTCATAGATTTAGTTAATGGTCGGTCATAGGATTAGTTTATGGTCGGTCATAGATTTAGTTTATGGTAGGTCATAGGATTAGTTTATGGTAGGTCATAGGATTAGTTTATGGTAGGTCATAGGATTAGTTTATGGTAGGTCATAGATTTAGTTTATGGTAGGTCATAGATTTAGTTTATGGTAGGTCATATGTTTAGTTTATGGTAGGTCATTGATTTAGTTTATGGTAGGTCATTGATTTAGTTTATGGTAGGTCATAGATTTAGTTTATAGTAGGTCATAGATTTAGTTTATGGTCGGTCACACATTTAGTGCATAAAAGGTCACCGCTTCACTTTATGGGAGGTCATGGTTAAGTTTATAGTAGGTCATAGGTTAAGTTTATATTAGGTCACAGGTTTAGTTTATAGGAGGTCAAGGTTAAGTTTATGGTAGATCACAGCCTTTGTCTTCTTGCTGATGACTTTGATTCTTTAGCATAATTGTTCAAATATTTTCAGGACTAATGTTTATAAACCAGAAGAAATAAATGCTGTGGAATTGGTTGGCACTTGCAGAAAGAATGTAAAGAAATAGAGCTCAGAGAACACACAAGACAGTTGACAAGTTGAAAGCTGTAGACACACACTGAGATTTGACCCCAACACCTCCAGAGGACGACAGTGAAATGAGTGTATTTTAATAAGCAAACTAGCCTGTCAGAGTTATCAATTAAACTGCAGTGTGTTTTTGACTGCATTTATGCTGTTGACTGCGTTTGTGTAAGAAGTTATTAAAAAATGGTTTGTATGCACTGTTAAAGAGTTGTTGTCATTCAGTATAAAAGATGAATGTTCTGTGGTGAACACTTGTGTGGGTTCCGGGGTCCCATTGTAGGGACAATAGGAATAGACCCGCTACTTCCTCAACAAGCATGTCCTAGAAGATTACTGGGGGGCTTCCTTTGGAGTACGTCTGCCTGAAAGGCAGGGATCCCAAAGTCAGGAGGTGGATGAACAACCAGAACTTTCTGCCGCAGTTTACAGCCAGTGAATGTGAAGAAAAAGCATGATGAATGTTGAATGCTTATGCTATATTTAGTTCATTTTTTTCTGTATAACAATCGCATCGTTCCCCCCTCCCTCCCCCCCACCCCCCATTTCAAATGCGTCTCTGAACAGAGCATGTTTCTGTTGTTGCTAATGTTACTTCATTGCCTTGCTCGTATAGTTTTGTTAAAGCATGTGTTCAGGTTTTTCCATAGAACTGTTTTTTTTAAATGGTCTCATTAAGTAGCTGAAATAAAGACTCCAAGTTGTCAGTTTCAAACCAGATTCATAAAACTGCTTTTTTTTTGTTTTTTTAACTACCACCACATCCATTGCTGAGCGATTACTGTGCCTACATTTTTGTTTGGCTCACTATGTATTGTAACATTTCTAGATTATTTGACAAGATTTATCCCTTTTTTTCTTTGACCGTATTTTTGTTTTGTATCTTTTTTATTTTAATGATTCTGCTTGATTATTAAGTTTTTTCAAATGGTCGTATTAAGTTTTTTCAAATGGTCGTATTAAGTTTTTTCGAAGGGTCGTATTAAGTTTTTTCAAAGGGTCGTATTAAGTTTTTTAAAGGGTCATATTAAGTTTTTTCAAAGGGTCGTATTAAGTTTTTTCAAAGGGTCGTATTAAGTTTTTTCAAAGGGTCGTATTAAGTTTTTTAAAGGGTCATATTAAGTTTTTTCAAATGGTCGTATTAAGTTTTTTCAAAGGGTCGTATTAAGTTTTTAAAAGGGTCATATTAAGTTTTTTCAAAGGGTCATATTAAGTTTTTTCAAAGGGTCATATTAAGTTTTTTCAAAGGGTCGTGTTAAGTTTTTTCAAAGTGTCGCTTATTCCATTATTCCATTATCTTTCTTGGTGTCTGTTTGATTTGTATACTTATGTCCTTTGTAGTATTCTGTTATGTGTGAAGTGTGTCCTAACTTAAAATAATTTCTGTTGTTCTCTTTATTTAAGCACTTGTGATTTGTTTTGTTATTTCTGTCATTATTCGCCTTTTTCATTTGTCCATCTCTCTCTCTCTCTCTCTCTCTCTCTCTCTCTCTCTCTCTCTCTCTCTCTCTCTCTCTCTCTCTCTCTCTCTCTCTCTCTCTCTCTCTCTCTCTCTCTCTCTCTCTCTCTCTCTCTCTCTCTCTCTCTTTCTCACTGTCTCGCTCTCTCTCTCTCACTCTCTCAAGTAAAAGGATATTCATCAAATGATGACTTGTTAACAAACCTTGCATTTTGCTGGTGGCCCCTCCCCTCCATATCAACGACCCTGACCCTGCTGTGTACCCCCCCATCCCTCCCATAGCTCAGTAAATTGATCTGCTTTTCACCAGACATGCAATAAGAGACTGAAACCCTTTCAGTGGTATCTGTGTGCTCAGTAAAATGATCTGCTCAGCACTAGACTTGCAGACTCTCCATTTGCTGCCTGAGGCTTGCTGGACTGTATGTGTTAAACCGTGCACAGTTGTAGACGATAGAAACACATGGAAAACTGTTTTTGAGCTCTTGTGGATGTAGTGAATTATTTGTGTCCTCAGGTGAAAAGCCGTACAGATGTAAATTTGAGAACTGTGAGCGGGCGTTTGCACAGCTGTCCAACCTGCAGCACCATATGCGCAACCATGACGACCAGGTGAAGAAGGAGGCCACTCGTATCCACAAGTGCCAGATTTGTCACAGGTGTTACACCAATGAGAGCAGCCTCAAGTCTCACACTCTGAAGGTGAGTTCTTCCTTCCCCATGTGGGTTCTGTGGGTTCTTCCTTCCGTGTGTAGGCTCTGGGACCCCATTCTTGGAGAAAGAAAAAAATAATAGATTCACCTCCTCCCTAACAGGCCTGTCATACAAGGCAGTGTGCATGCAAAACTCAAGATCTGGAACAAGACCAAAATCCAGGAATGGATGAACAACCAGAACTTTCAGCCAGAGTTTATAGCTTGTGGTAGCTAAGAAGAAGAAGTTTTTGGTTAACACTTCAACGTTCTTACCTGGCAGGTTTGGTCAGACTCATCTTGTAATCTTGTTCTTGAAATCTTAGTTTCGGCTTCATAACAAACCGGGTCACCCCATAGTTGCTCCGCTTCTTGTGCCAATGAAAAACACACACAGTGACCATCACTTTCCCTTGCGGGAAAAATGGACGCAGACTGCAGTCTCAGCATATCCACTAGAACACACAGGCATTAAAAGCATAAGGTAGCCAGCAGAAGTGGGAATACAAACAGTCCAACATTAGACATGCAGTTTGTCAGTTACAAACAGATAATTAACGGTTGCACAGGCAATCAGTTTTAATCATCACTTAATGCACCACCAATACTGAGGCAACAGGCTGCACCCAATGTTTTGAATGTACAGTCAAACCAAACATTCCAAATGAAATTCATGCCATGCATTTAGCTATATAGCTGGATGACAAAACTGTATCTTTTCAGTCTACAAATAGAGGAAAATGCAATGGCCACTGTCTGTCAGAAGCAAACAATTTGCCACAACTAAAAACAGTGGTGACCGTGCCTGTCGTCCATTTTGATCGGAAGTTGTGCGTTACCAGGACCCAGAAGGACACGGCGATAACCAACAGCCATGTCAGCTGAAGCACCTCAGTCCATATCATCTTATGTGATGTCATTTAATGGGGAAACAGAATAGACACCCCCCCCCCCCCTCCCCCACAACTTTCCAACATGCATGTCATAAAAGATGACTAAGTTATAGTTGCATGTTCTTTACAGGAGGTTACAGAAGCAACCGCAGCACTTGTCATCTGTTTTTGGAATTTCACTAAGCACTTTTATGTTCAAAAGTTTGCCATTGCTTACTGAACGGTCAGTCCCCCACGCCACTGTCGAAACCAAGGCCAATTGACCACAACTGGGATAGAACCTGGCATCCTGGAATTACAAAGCCCTTTTCAGCTACATCTAAATAAGGGTTTGTTGAAGTCGAATGTGTTGGACCAAGCTGTAAAATTGAAGTAAAGTGGAGCTCCTTATACAAGCCAGTGGTGCATTGGGCATAACTTCTTCTACTGTAAACTGCAGCAGAAGGTTCTTGTTGTTTGTCCACTTCTGAACTTTGGTCTTATTCTATAATTTGAGTTTGCTTGCACATCTGTTTTACAGATCTGGCTTATTTGTATGCAGACTGTTGATTTCCCACCTATCAGGCAGATACATGCCACCTTTGAAGGGAACAGCCCTCTTTCTATAACATAATTGTTGGGGGGGGGGGGGCAGTGGGCCTCTTCCCCCCCCCCCCCCCCCTTCCCTCAGATTGCCCCGGAACCCAGACAGGAAGTATCAGGCTCATAAGGCTAGACATATTTTTTTAGAGCAATCAGCGGTTAATGATTGATGTGGTCAACACACACCGGGTGCCTTTACTTCCCAGGACTTTACCATGAATCCATTTAAGGCTTGGTCAACCTAGGAGCCAGTTTCAAGTATGAAAAAATTCCAGCTTCACATGGATTTAAACCTGCAAACTTTGGATCAGCCTGTTGTTCATCCATGACAAGGAATGTTGACCAGTCCTTTAATCCACTGGTGACTGGGTTAGGTTTTGTGAGTGCCCAGGTGGCTGATAAGGCCAATTCTAGCAGTGAAAGTTCTTGAGCAATGTGGACAGGGATTAAAAGTTGCATCTCTCTGGTGATTTGCTTCAGTGTCTTTCCTGGCTTGTCTTTTCTGAATTGCTGATGCAGTTCTAGCAGCTTCATGGGCTACAGCTCCTTGATGAAGAGAAGAGCGCCAGGATGAGACACAAAGTGACAGTCATACTTTTGAGGGTGAGCAAAAGAAGAAAGATATCACAAGGGTTTGGGGGAGACAGGAGCTCCAGGATGAGACAAAGTGCCAGTCATACTTCTGAGGGTGAGTGCAGACAAAAGAAGAAAGATATCACAAGGGTTTGGGGACGACAGGAGACAGGAGCTCCAGGATGAGACAAAGTGCCAGTCATACTTCTGAGGGTGAGCACAGACAAAAGAAAAAAGATATCACAAAGGTTTGAGGACGACAGGAGGGTATGGTTCCTATAAGCCTAGCATAGTGGTGAGGGCAATGTGTCAAGGACATCCTAGTAGGTGAAAGTTCACAAGGATGGGACAGTTTGGAGGGGGCCAAGTGGCTAGCTATTCGACAAAGGACCAGCCACATTTTCAGCAAACCATTTATGCCAGAGAAGACATTTTGCTAAAGCTGGCATGAGATTGAATATCTCACCCTGCAGACAACCTTAGCTGCACAATCCAACAATTTAGTCAGTCTTATATTTGTTATGTAACCTTTGTTGTGTTGTTGACTGATCTTGTGTATCTCTTATATAACCTTTGTTCTGTTGTTGACTGATCTTGTGTATCTCTTATGTAACCTTTGTTCTGTTGTTGACTGATCTTGTGTATCTCTTATGTAACCTTTGTTCTGTTGTTGACTGATCTTGTGTATCTCTGATCTAACATGTGTTATATTGTTGACTGATCTTGTGTGTCTCTTATGTAACCTTTGTTCTGTTGTTGACTCATCTTGTGTATCTCTTATGTAACCTTTGTTCTGTTGTTGACTGATCTTGTGTTTCTCTTATGTAACATGTGTTATATTGTTGACTGATCTTGTGTATCTCTTATGTAACCTTTGTTGTGTTGTTGACTGATCTTGTGTGTCTCTTATGTAACATGTGTTGTGTTGTTGACTGATCTTGTGTGTCTCTTATGTAACCTTTGTTGTGTTGTTGACTGGTCTTGTGTATCTCTTATGTAACCTTTGTTCTGTTGTTGACTGATCTTGTGTATCTCTTATGTAACCTTTGTTGTGTTGTTGACTGATCTTGTGTATCTCTTATGTAACCTTTGTTGTGTTGTTGACTGATCTTGTGTATCTCTGATCTAACATGTGTTATATTGTTGACTGATCTTGGGTATCTCTTATGTAACCTTTGTTCTGTTGTTGACTGATCTTGTGTATCTCTTATGTAACCTTTGTTCTGTTGTTGACTGATCTTGTGTGTCTCTTATGTAACATGTGTTATATTGTTGACTGATCTTGTGTATCTCTTATGTAACCTTTGTTCTGTTGTTGACTGATCTTGTGTATCTCTGATCTAACATGTGTTATATTGTTGACTGATCTTGTGTGTCTCTTATGTAACCTTTGTTCTGTTGTTGACTGATCTTGTGTATCTCTTATGTAACCTTTGTTGTGTTGTTGACTGATCTTGTGTATCTCTTATGTAACATGGGTTATGTTGTTGACTGATCTTGTGTATCTCTTATGTAACATGTGTTATATTGTTGACTGATCTTGTGTGTCTCTTATGTAACATGTGTTGTGTTGTTGACTGATCTTGTGTATCTCTTATGTAACCTTTGTTCTGTGGTTGACTGATCTTGTGTGTCTCTTATGTAACATGTGTTGTGTTGTTGACTGATCTTGTGTATCTCTTATGTAACCTTTGTTCTGTTGTTGACTGATCTTGTGTGTCTCTTATGTAACATGTGTTGTGTTGTTGACTGATCTTGTGTATCTCTTATGTAACCTTTGTTCTGTTGTTGACTGATCTTGTGTGTCTCCTATGTAACCTTTGTTGTGTTGTTGACTGATCTTGTGTGTCTCTTATGTAACATGTGTTATATTGTTGACTGATCTTGTGTATCTCTTGTGTAACCTTTGTTGTGTTGTTGACTGATCTTGTGTGTCTCTTATGTAACCTTTGTTCTGTTGTTGACTGATCTTGTGTGTCTCTTATGTAACCTTTGTTCTGTTTTTGACTGATCTTGTGTATCTCTTATGTAACCTTTGTTCTGTTGTTGACTGATCTTGTGTATCTCTTATGTAACCTTTGTTCTGTTGTTGACTGATCTTGTGTATCTCTTATGTAACCTTTGTTCTGTTGTTGACTGATCTTGTGTATCTCTTATGTAACCTTTGTTCTGTTGTTGACTGATCTTGTGTATCTCTTATGTAACCTTTGTTCTGTTGTTGACTGATCTTGTGTGTCTCCTATGTAACCTTTGTTGTGTTGTTGACTGATCTTGTGTGTCTCTTATGTAACATGTGTTATATTGTTGACTGATCTTGTGTATCTCTTATGTAACCTTTGTTGTGTTGTTGACTGATCTTGTGTGTCTCTTATGTAACATGTGTTATATTGTTGACTGATCTTGTGTATCTCTTATGTAACCTTTGTTGTGTTGTTGACTGATCTTGTGTGTCTCTTATGTAACCTTTGTTCTGTTGTTGACTGATCTTGTGTGTCTCTTATGTAACCTTTGTTCTGTTGTTGACTGATCTTGTGTATCTCTTATGTAACCTTTGTTCTGTTGTTGACTGATCTTGTGTATCTCTTATGTAACCTTTGTTCTGTTGTTCACTGATCTTGTGTATCTCTTATGTAACCTTTGTTCTGTTGTTGACTGATCTTGTGTATCTCTTATGTAACCTTTGTTCTGTTGTTGACTGATCTTGTGTATCTCTTATGTAACCTTTGTTCTGTTGTTGACTGATCTTGTGTATCTCTTATGTAACCTTTGTTCTGTTGTTGACTGATCTTGTGTATCTCTTATGTAACCTTTGTTCTGTTGTTGACTGATCTTGTGTATCTCTTATGTAACCTTTGTTGTGTTGTTGACTGATCTTGTGTATCTCCCAACAGATGCACATTCACATCAAGCCCATAGACCAGCACGCTGCCCCACCTGTTAAGAAGAGGAAAAAGCGTAAGAA